CTGTTACTGCTCCCACTGGAAGGTTACTCCAGGTATCCACTACCCTTTCTATACCACTGTTACTGCTCCCACTGGAAGGCTATTCCAGGTATCTACTACCCTTTCTAGATCACTGTTACTGCTCCCACTGGAAGGCTATTCCAGGTATCTACTACCCTTTCTATATCACTGTTACTGCTCCCACTGGAAGGTTATTCCATGTATCTACTACCCTTTCTATATCACTGTTATTGCTCCCACTGCAGGCTTTTCCTGGTATCTACTACCCTTTCTATATCACTGTTACTGCTCTCATTGGAAGGCTTTTCCAGGTATCTACTACCCTTTTCTATATCACTGTTACTGCTCCCACTGGAAGGCTATTCCAGGTATCTACTACCCTTTCTATATCACTGTTACTGCTCCCACTGGAAGGCTATTCCAGGTATCTACTACCCTTTCTATATCACTGTTACCGCTCCCACTGGAAGGCTGTTCCAGGTATCTACTACCCTTTCTATATCGCTGTTGCTGCTCCCACTGGAAGGCTATTCCATGTATCTACTACCCTTTCTATATCACTGTTACTGCTCCCACTGGAAGGCTATTCCAGGTATCTACTACCCTTTCTATATCGCTGTTACTGCTCCCACTGGAAGGCTATTCCAGGTACCTACTACCCTTTCTATATCGCTGTTACTGCTCCCACTGGAAGGCTATTCCAGGTATCTACTACCCTTTCTATATCGCTGTTACTGCTCCCACTGGGAGGCTATCCCAGGTATCTACTACCCTTTCTATATCACTGTTACTGCTCCCACTGGAAGGCTATTCCAGGTATCTACTACCCTTTCTATATCGCTGTTACTGCTCCCACTGGAAAGCTATTCCTGGTATCTACTACCCTTTCTATATCACTGTTACCGCTCCCACTGGAAGGCTATCCCAGGTATCTACTACCCTTTCTATATCGCTGTTACTGCTCCCACTGGGAGGTTATTCCAGGTATCTACTACCCTTTCTATATCACTGTTACTGCTCCCACTGGAAGGCTATTCCAGGTATCTACTACCCTTTCTATATCACTGTTACTGCTCCCACTGGAAGGCTATTCCAGGTATCTACTACCCTTTCTATATCAGTGCTAACCTTTTGGTTTCTATTGGATGGCTATTCCAGGTATCTACTAGTTTTCTCAATATAAACTGTAAATAAACAGTTTGTAATATCACCCCTTAATTGTTCTAATCCTGCATCCCACTCAGAGGGTTTACTCATGTGCCTGGAGCTCACAGATCAGTATATAATCATGTATTTTGTATTTAAAGTATTAATAACGCTTGTTATTTGACAGCTGTCTGTGGTGTGACCTACATTCTCATCATAAGGAAGTAGTTACTCAGTGAGAGAATCCTATGTACTAAACTACTGATTCTCTGAATCCACGAGTGGTAAACATTTCACAATAATTAAAAACGATTCATCCTGTAGAGCTTTCTATCCAAAATGTGCTGAGTTACAAAGAAACCGGGCACAGTGTACCTGCAGAGACGGGCTCTCTACTAAGAAACCCAGTCTAACAGTTAAGGTGGTTTGCCACCAAAAAAAACAAACTTTTTATTAGTCAGTGAAGCAGGGAAAATGGCTCCCTGGGCAAATTTAAGTTATCAGTTTTACTTTACAGCCATGGATATCGTTAATATACGGGCGTTCATCACCCTCTCCAAAGCCCCGCACAATTGTCAACTCCAAAAACAGCAGGGACCAGTGCTAAGAAACATTATGATCTGCGAAATCATTAGGAAACCGTGTTCCAACTAACTATGTAGGTACGATCTCAGCCAATACCAGATAGGAAAGCATTATTAAAGCTTGCGCTGCAAATCTTCGCGATATGCCTATCAAGGAGCGACATTTGACTGAGAACCGAGTCTGGCTCAGGTGTCACTGGGGAGATCTCATTCAGTGTCTGTCAGTGCGAGAGCCACTAGAAGTGTGTTAACCTCCATTTATAACATTACTGTGCCTACTAAACGGCAATGTTTAACATGGCAGGATGCAAATGAATCGCCACTGCACCCTGACTGCTTCATTGTGACAAAGTGGTCTGGGTGCCTTGATGGACCTTTAGCATATAAAGAATTGATGTATTTAATAAAAAATAACTGAACATACAATACTTTGTATTTGAACTTGACTGGTTGATGATCTTTATAGCTGATTATTGATTCTGCCACCTTGATATTCTATATATATCAGTGTTTCTGAGTCTGCACTGCAGTTAGTGTGAGTGTAACTTGTTACGCAATCCTAAACTCCAGGCATGTTTCTATTACAGGTACTAAGTCATCCAGTTACTATTGCCATTGTTAAAAGCCAGCCTGCATCCTGCTGTCATATTTACATAGTAATCTAGGTTATCGTGGTGCCAGCCATGTTTAATCTCAGTTTGTGCCATGTGACCAGGCGTTCCATGTAATTAAAGGAACACTATAGCCACCCAGAACACATTAACTCAGTGAAGTACTCTGGGTGCCTTCTGCCCCTTTTAACTCTAAGCGTCTGCTAGAACGGCAATCTTTTCATTGCTATTGTAGTCAGATGCCCTCAGAAGACCATGTGATTGGCACAGCGTGGCATTCTGCCGTGCATGCACTCTAGAAGAAGAGGTGGAGCTGGAGCGGGGAGACCGGTGCGGTGAGGCACAGGTTATTAATGTCTGCTCAATAAAGGTTTCAGTCATTCCTTTCCAGGCACTGTTTTTATTTGTTTATTTTGTTTTTGCCACCCTACTATTTAGGATGTTTTGCTTTTGTGAAGCTGCAGTCATTCTGTTTTTTCTCACCTGGTTACCTGGTCTGAGTTAATTCTTCTACATTTCGCCTTTACACCGTTATGTAGGTTACCCTCAGAACCTGTTTGTTGTTGTGAAGGTGGCTCTGTACTTTAACAGGGCCGATGGTAAAACACAATATCTGAACCTTTCAATAATGAGGCGTGGATTGGATTGGTGACACAGAAACTTACGGCTATCTTCCGCGTGGTCTTCCACCCTTTGGTTTGGTCAGAGAGGTCACAGGATGTCATGAGAAGACACAGTAAGAGGTTGTGATGATGTTTGTTTTTGGGATTAAATCCATCTGCAAATATATAATATATAATAAAAAATGAGATTCTTATTGTTCCAAACTTTCTTAATGTAAAAACTAACCATAGACGACAGATCACACACTACACTTCCAGCATCCCTGGATACACTGCACAATCCAACAATACACTGCACACAATCCAACAATACACTGCACAATCCAACAATCCACTGCACACAATGTCATGATACACTGCACACAATGTCATGATACACTGCACAATCCAACAATCCACTGCACACAATGTCATGATACACTGCACAATCCAACAATACACTGCACACAATCCAACAACCCACTGCACACAATGTCATGAT